GAAAAGGTACAAACTAGGTTTCCAGCCTTTGTTGTACCCAAGTCATATATAATATTCCCTGATAATGGTAAGGACGGCACCAGTCAATTTTGGTACATTTGAGCCAGTATGCCACAAGCAACCAGAGCCCAATTTTACCCTGAATATGCTATTCTATGCAAGCTAGGATGTCTACTCTAGAGAATATCTTGTTCTCAACTAGCTTATTTACTGATATCTCAAACCTTAGTTCAATGGACTAAGAAATGTAAGTATTGATTGTGACTACTATAAGAAACAGTCATCCCGTTTTTTTCTGGACGGTATATAAATATACAATTCATTAAAGAATCCACTTTTATGAAAGGGATGCAAACTGATGTACAAATGGAAGAAGAGTTTGAAGAATGTTTTTCTTATAAATAGGATATAAGATAAATACACAGTCATATTATATTTCACGGAAAAGCAAAACTGTAAGAACTAATAGTAAGACTATTTGGGGAAAAAAAGTTAAGGAACTTTTAAGCAGATATTCCAAATTACCTATATCAGAATTATACAAAGCTTTTAGCTATGCTAAATAAGAACTATTCCTTCTATGCCCTTGAAACAGAATATCCAATGAATTGTACAGCAAAGATATTAGGAACAAGTTGAAAGACCAGATAAATTACTCTTGGCCAGAACAGTTACATCCAATGTTCCCTCTAAGTTCTGATGTGCCTTGTGCAGAAAAAAAAAGGTTTTGTGCAGCTTTTCCCAAGCCAAGTACAAATTTGGCCTCCGCAATATGAGGTTACAAGTAAATTGCAAATACATGTAATATAAATATGTTAAAATGTTTACCAATTTCTTAGTTAAAGTATAGAAACTAGAAAGTATAATAATATGTCACATACATGCCTAAAAGTTGTGCCTTCAGATCACTTTTACCCCTGGGAAATGCCCCTTGCAGCAGAGAGAGGGACTGGCCCAAGGTCACCCAGCTGGCTCTGTGCCTCAGGCGGGACTAGAACTCCCGGTCTCCCGGTCACTAGCCTGATGCCTTTGCCACTGCACCAAACTGGCTCTCAGCAGCCTGTCTCTGCCTCGGCCCAATCTGGAGCAGGTCGGCTACAAATGCAAGGCTGGGAAAGGGCTGCCTGCCTGCTGTCCCAGGCACAAGGATGCTCCCCCAGGATTTCCCACTCAGTGGCAGCACCCAGTGAGACTTGCTGCTGCAGAGAAGTTGAGGTGGTGAGCTTGTTCGGGATTCCTCATGAGTCACAAGCCTGGAGTTCTATGGTGCCTACATTTACTGTAATTATTGTAGGGTAACGTAATTTTGTGTGTGCCTGACTTTTTACCACACGTGCAGGATTGATGAGTGGTGTACACCCGTGCACACCTTAGACAGAACATAGGTTACAACAATGTCATATTATCTCTGCTATTAAGGATGCCCAGGATAAAATATATGATTCTGACTCAACAAATCAACATTTTAAAAATGTGTATTCTTGATTATATAATGCTTAGTTGATATAATAGAAGAAATTAATGAGTTTTTATGCAATATAACTCTTCCTAAGATTATACCTGATCGGTAGTTTATTCACCTGTTTATTCACCATAAAGGATCCCTCAAAGATAAAATAGATAACATTAAATCTATGAAAACAAGAACTATTGCTATCATTGCACTATTTGGTAATTTAACAGGGTATTCAATTAACTGAATAGCATGACAAATACAGGTAGTTCTCGGGTTACGATGGCAGTTAGGACCCTAATTGCTGATGCTAAGTGATGTGGTTGTAAAGTGCAATGTCACATGACCACATTGCTTAGCGACAGCAATCCCAGCAGTCCCCTTTGCTGTCATAACCCCAGGACCACATGGTCATTAAGCAGGAAGAAGCAGGAGTCCCAGGCAAGGAGAGTGGGGGGGGGTGCATGGCTTGGGAGAAAAAGTGGCAGGAGTGACTTGCAGGAGGATCTGGTGACCTCCTGCTGGCTTCCTTATTGACTTTGCCTATGCAAAGCCGGCAGGGGAGATCACAAATGGTAATCATGTGACCGCAGGATGCCGCAACTGTCATAAGCGTGAGCCAATTGCCAACCGCCTGAATTGCGATCATGTGACCGCAGGGGTGCTGCAATGGCCGGAACTTTGAGGACCGGTCATAAGTTCCCCTCGTTCAGTGCTGTTGCAATTTTGAATGGTCACTGAACGAGTGGCTGTAACTTGAGGACTACCTGTATATGGTACTTCCTCATATGCCTCATATGCTTCCTATAGGCTCTTAAGTTTCTATTGAAATTTGTAAAAATTTGCATTTCACTTGTTGCTTGAATTCTTTTAAATCTGGAAAAAATTATTTCAAGGTAACTTTTTTCATGTGTTCTTGTAAATATATCAGATTCCTTATCTCAAATAAAAATCAGCATAAATAGATGGGTAAAAATTCAACTGAACTGCAGGAAAAAATAAATTTTGTAAACATTTATATTACTTCAATGTATTTACTTAGCAGCGTATATTTACTTAGCAGCGTTCCTAGGTGAATACTTTTAAATTATTTTAAAGAGGTATATAAGATATTAAGAAATTGTATATGGGAAGGACAAACTCCTACAATTTCTTCATCTAAATTAGGCTGTTACATGATGATGGGAATTTTAATTTTCCTGACTTTCAGCATTATAGTTGGCAGATATTTTGACTTCAGTCTCTCTGTGGAACACAAGCAATCAGGTGACACACCTCTGTTAGCACAATTGGCATGTTATTGTGTAATTCCTCTGATACTATGGCAGGGTCTTGGCGTCATTTTGAGCAATAGCTCTGTTCTATCTCCTGCATTAAACATCACAAAGCATGTCTGGAAGACATTTGGTTTGAGTTGGTGGTGTTGGATTTTGACTGTGTTTTGTTCTGGTTTTTGGTATTTTTGTTCCTCCCCCCCCCCCCCCCCCCCCCC